AAAGTCAGCGGTTCAAATCTACCAGCTGCTCCTTGGAAACCCTCTGAGACAGTTCTACTCTGTGTATAGGGTCGCTACGAGTTGGAATTGACTTGATGGCAAGGGGTTTAGGTGACTTCTTTGCCCCTATATTTATAGCAGTGCACCTTTGCTCAGCCAACCTTACTCCAATTCCTTCCATGGTTTCTTTTGCAATCCATAGTGAGCTCCTTCCTATTCTGGTTTCCTGTCCCAGTCATTGACTTTCTTCAGCCCAATATTGTCTAACTTTCTAAACACAAGTGCCCCAGATAGCTCTACTTTGGGTTGCAAATTGCTTAAACAAAGGCTTAAAAAACATTTGTCGAATGATTGAACAGTGTGCCAGCATGATCTGTAAGCATAAAACAGAGAAGAGGAAGGGCATGTTTTGGAATAAAAACCGTGATGCCTTGAGAGTAATAGGAGAAGATGGCCCCAGGTATGTGCATGACAGATCCGGAAAGTAGCTCTCTGTTGATCATTGGCAATTCAGCTTCAAAAGTTTGCAAATTAGGGACTTAACTAAATTCTTAAAGAATTACCCTTTTTTAATTCTTGCCTTTGTGGTTCTTACATTCCTCATCTGTCCCCAACCATACGGCTGCCAACTAACATGACTGGATCTCCTGGTTGTGTGTATTGTCTAAATTCTAGCCCACGAAGAGCACCTGGTTAGTACAGGGACACAACACTTTCCTTAAAGCAAACATTTCTACTTTTACGAAGAAAGTCAGTGGGTAGATGAGGATGCTTTTGAATCCAAAACGCATCTCTTTCTTTTAGTGGGGGATACGTATATGAGCCCCCAGCTGCCTCCTAGCCTCTCCTCTGACTTTTCAGCAGGCTGTCTAAAGATACAGTATGATGCGGAAGTACCTTCCTCTTAATCCTCCTTATTACCAAGAGAGAACTTGGATAAGGGAATTAACAGGAACTACTGCCTCTTGAATTCAAGAAAATGAGCCGCCTGAGTTGACATTAGAGAGTATCTTCTCAAGACGATGAGTATAAAAATTTCCCCATTTTTTTAAACAGTAAGAAGTTGCTAAAGTATAAGACGGTGCTGACACCAAGGATTATGCTATTCTCTGCTTTGTTTCCCTTCCCTCTGTCAGGGCCTTGTTCAGTAGGTGCCCATTAAGTATGTGCTGAATGAATGCATTAATAGTGAGGAAGAACCATGCTCTGGAATGTAAATGAGAGGACGTAGAGGCCAGTGGGAGCTTTTCTGCTTGGACTTTCTCTACATTGACCAAAATTCCTCCTATGATTAGAAGCCCTCTTTTGAACCAAGGCATTGATTTGTCAGAGCTCCTGTTAAACCATATATTTGGGGGAAGTGTTCACTCTGTTATTTTATTAGTCTCTTCTCATTCTGTTAGCAAAGAGAAGAGCTCTGGGGTATTGGGACTCAGGATCCAAAACATTTCTAAATGGAGCAGGGTCAGGTAGCGTTTACCAAAGTGTGGGAACATACCAGTAGTGGCCTCAGAGATGATTTTTAGGGAAGGTAGAGATGACATAAGGCATGCTACTGAATTGTTCTGTACGTAAGTTAGTGCCTTTTCAGGTCTCGGTTCTTCTGATTGCACCAAGATCAGAATCCTGAGCTGGTGCCGGGATATCTTTCATGCCTCTCTAACACTGGCTGATCTCTCTTTTTAGCAAAGTTTAGAGAGGCAAGGGTTTCCAGCAAATATTTGATAGCATTGTTTCATTTACATTGTATTAATTTTTTATGGTTACCTCCCATTAATTGCAAGTGGCATCAGGGTTTCACTTAAACATCAGGAATGGGAAGTTTCTTTTCAAATATAACAATGTAAGTAAGAAGAATGAGTTGATTTAACAGAAACTTTGCGTAATCGTACTACAGGGCCAAGGAGATGTGGCATCAGTTACATAAGTGGCATGAGAAGACTGAGGCTTGGGAACCATGGGGGCTGGGGAGAGGATGGGAAAGAACCATTGCCGAGTGCCTCATCTAGGGAAAGGAGCCACAGGCAGGCACATGGAGTAGGGTGATGGCTTCCAGATGTAGAGTTGGAGGCTGTATTGGGGTAGAAAATGTTGAGGGAAGAACCCTCCAAAGCGGCAAAAACTATGACATGAGGGACATCTAAGTTGCCTCTGTTCTCCAAAGGCACAGTTTTCTCCAACTGGTATTCTCCTTACCGTAGAAGGTAAGAAGCCCATCTCCAGGGGCGGAGAATGGCCGCATTGTCACACTGCAATGCAATGAGCGTGTTTGGTTGTGTTTCTCAGCCTCACTTAACCAGGATTACTTTTGTCACTTTGCCCTCCTCTAGCATGTCATTCTGCAGAAGGTTTGTTCAAGAAAGAATTCAGACTTTATAGCTATACAACCTAATACTCATTTTGTGAACTAGAGCAATTTATTCTGCTTTCCTTTTGTTGCCTTATAGTGTGGTTCTAGAAACAGATGCCAAGTTAGCAGTTGTATGGCTGTCCCCATACTACCCATACTAACCATTCCATTTGCACTGAGCCCTTCCTGTCTCTCACTTGCAATTTCTTTTTATCTCTTATTTCCCTGCATTCTTATGACAGCTGACTCAGGGTACATTCTGTTGGTTTATTCTCATATTTTTGCCTATCAATTTTCCACGTGAGGCTACATTTGGAAATATTCTATTAGCTAACATGATTACATTATTAACTCCCTGCCTGAGACTTTTGAACACCTCGGTTGAGCTCATGTTCCTTTTGAATGGGCACAGAAAGCTGCTGCTCAAACGTCTCCGATGGAAATCGGATTCATTTCCCACATGCAGCCGAGGGAAGCCGTCTTAGTTCATCTGTGCCCTTGGAGGTCAGGCTGGCAATTCTTTCCTGAGGAATCTGTTGATTATTAGAATCTGACCCAGACCATTTCTGAGAGAAAGTTCATTTTATAATTTTATGATTTTCCTCCCTCCTGCTTTCTAACAGTCTCACTTTTCCATTTCATTTCCCAGTTCTGAACATCAGAGTTTAAAGAGCCCCTTTTTATGGAGTGTATGCTAAAGTGCTGTGTTAGGCAATACATTTATTACCTGGAGTGAAATGGCTTTTCACAGCCAGGTAGCCCTCTTGCTACCTCTATACTTGAGAAAGTCACTCCTTGCATTTTGCTAGACAATAGCTCTGAATCAACCAGTAAAGAAAGAGAATGAGAGCGTGTGTGTGTGTGTGTGTGTGTGTGTGTGTGTGTGTGTGTGTGTGTGTGTGTGTGTG